AGTCAAGCCGATACAGTTCAGTCCTCAAAATCACAAACCCGGCCGCGCAGAAACATCGGGTTTTTGGCGTTTTTGGTTCCGCATATCATCATAATTTGGACGCCATGTTAAGCCATGCTAAGAGCCGAAAGTGCCGATCCTGCCGTGCTTTTCGCACATTGTTAGCAAGCAAACTGGGGCAAACGAGGGCGATGGACCCTAGTACTAGTACTAGTACTAGTACTAGTACTAGTAGTAGTAGTAGTAGGAGTAGTAGTAGTAGTAGTAGTACACTACTAGTCGTATGAGAACTGGAAACTCTACCATGACCATTCAGGAATTGAGTTTGAAACTGGGGTCGTTCTCGAAACCCTTCATTTGTGAGAGGCCTCACGGTTAGGTTTCAGAAGTCTGGTCAGTGTTTCAGCGCCGACGCATCTTCAAGCTTGAGAAACATTCATTGTTGCCGCTTGGAACTCCTGTGCCGTCGGTGAGGCAAGAGACTGAATACCCAGATCCCATCGAGTCCGAGAACACCCGGGCTAAATCAAGTCGGTCGCCCTGTCACGGCACTTGCTTGTGCTCTCCAGCACGATGTTGCTTCCAAGAGTGACATGTCATGCATGTCAAGCAATGTCATAGCAGGCATTGAAACCTTGTCAGGGTAACTGTCATGAACTGTCTGTTGCCCCCGACATTCTGCGTCAAAGCTGATTTTAGGGTTCGGGGTTTAGGTTTTTGTGGTGTGTTGTGGGTTTAGACGCTCTGGTTGCATTCTCCTGCAATGCTTTGACCAAGTCAGGCAAAGCATCTTGGCTTGACGGTGATAGCCTCTGCATCGCGCGAGGAGACGGTGTCATGGTGCAAGAAGAACCTGGGCCAACGATTGCAACAGGAGGGTATAGTCTCCCCGGGGCCCCGTAAGAGAGGCCCGTTCCCCAACAGGATGCTAAGAAGTGCTCTTGAAGCACTGCAATTGAAGTATCATTGCTTACAACACTTTTGGGTTTGTTGATTTGTACTCTGTTGCATGTTCCATAATGAACTATGCTGCATGAGCACATGACACTCAATTCATCGATATATTGATCGGACAACTTTCAGATACGGAAGCCCTATACACCTCTGCACACAGACATACACGCATCCGTACATACATACATGTACGCATGTTTGTAGATGGGTCTGATGGTGCAGCCTAGAACAGAAGAAGCTTCTTCATCGTTTGTAAACTGATGTGCAGTCCCATAGTATATGGCAATGATGGACGTCTTGGTAGGTTGCATGGTGACCACCCAAGGATGGGCGCAGATCACATCATCAACCATCGAAACGACCTGAAAAGTCAACTGGCGGAGGCTCCGTGCCTACTCTGGCAAAGTGGATTTAGGGTTTCGGGCTTAGTGGATAGTCATTGACGTCGAGTCTGCCAGACTAAGTGGCCAAACCCGGTGCGGTTATGCATACAGCTTCTATTCTCATACCGCACTGTACTCTGGCTACGTGGACATGCCGATCATGCGGAGGGCAGGGCGGGGTTTGATTAGAGGGATTCGGCAAACTTTGTTTTGTTTTGGTTTGGACTACCGTTGTAGCACCCGCCGTTGATGTGGAATTCTGGCTTTGACCAGGAGCCTTGATGGTATTGACATGAAAAACTGTTTTGGGCTCTGATCTTGAGGTTTGGAGACCAGCATCCTCAGTGGCTGAAACCTTGTTCAAGTCTGCAAGTATACAAGGCAACGTATCGAATAATATGGCACTCCGTGCAATACTGCGTCGTTCGTGTACCGTCTGTTCTACTGTATGATACTGCGCACGATGCTGTGCTACACTCTATCCTACTCTGGCCTACTCCACACGACGACACAGTCATAAGTGTTTGTACTCTATCTTCTAAACTATATGCGTCTCTACTGTGCTATGAATCACTGCATGCACCCTGATCCATTATGTCGAAGGCCTCATCCCTGCACAAAACTAAAGCAAAAATCAGCCCGAACCTTTAACTAATAAAAACTAATTCGCTCGCTCCCTGAACAAACCAAGCACACAACACAAGTCAACACACACACACACCTTGGCATGTGCATGTCGTGCGTGTATGTATATATGTATGCACATGGTATCATATATACATATATATATATATATATGTATATAGATATACATATACACACATGATACACACACATATAAATACACATTCACATACACACATGTATATATATATATATCCATACATATATATATATATACACATACATACATACATACATACATACATACATACATACATACATACATACATATATATATATATATATATCTACTTGTGTATACATACCAGGCCAATCATCCCCAGGCTGGCTATCCTAGTGTGGACTACCTCTTCAACGCCCATGAAAATGATCGTCTCGGCGAGCTGATCCAGCTGCTTCCTGGCTTTCTGCGGGTTGTCCTGTTCTTGCATTCGAAGAGAACCGTATACCACCATAGGTACTACAGATACCATCGCGCATACATAGAGGTTCATTGCAATCGAATCATCTACTATCATCGGCGCCGTAGCTTTAGCTTGAGTTTCATCTGCGATGATACGTACTCTGCTCGCACTGGAACTTAACATGGAAATTCCCAGACTCGTAGTTTCACAGCAATCCTTTCGGCTATAAGGTTCCAAGGACGCAGGAATCCGCTAATTTATAGTTTTGACATCTAAGCTTGCAACATCAGATGATGTTATCTACTTTGATGTGCTCTTGGGTGTATGGTGAACGAGATAGAGGTCACACATGACAGAACTTCACGCTGTAGATGTCTCTCAGTGATCCTGCGATTCGAAGAAGACTGTGGGCTTTCTTGTGCAGGTAGCCAGCATGCTAACATCATGTGGTAGGTCTTAGGTGGCGAGGCATTGCGTGGCTGTCAGTAGTGAGGCATGCCAACCAGGCCACGAACTCTTTTCCTGCGCTGTATCTGCTAAGAAGGATGTTTGACGAGGGGCCAAGACAATCCCGACAGATTGGCAATTCCCACTCAGTATCAGTAGCCTTCCGTCAGCAATGCCCGCTACAGCAGCGCGAGGCTGAGTGTGAACGGCAAAATTGCCATCACCTTCAACGCCACCCGCGAGCAGCTCGAAACAGTTGACTTCCAAACGATGTGGATGAAGCGACAGTCCTTGGTGCACACGTTCATGTGCCTGGCGTTCAAAAAGGGGTGTGAACAACTAAACCCAGGAAATGAGTCTTACGAAAGATGTCTACTTCAGAAAGGCTCATCATCTGAATCTGCTTCGCGGATTTCGACAGACTTCGTGGGGAAATCTTTACACGATGTGTCCTGGATCTGTTGACAAAATCATCCATGCGACACTTTAGTAGGCATTTGTTCCATATTACACAACATCAATGGAAGCTACTTGATCCCATACCAATTGGAACTCCGATCGCGGATGGTTGAACGTAGTTCCCAATCTCCCCGTTTGAAGCTTGAAAGAAGTTCGTCGGATAGAGGTGGGCACCAGCAGAGGTTTAATTCCCCTCAGGTTCGGGCGTGCCATGTTCGACGCTAGTCCTGAGATGGTGGGCGGCATAATGGCTTCTTGCGCCAAGCTCGTGGACAGCGGCATCATCAAATCCACGGCGACTACGAAGTTCAAGAGTTTGACGGAGATCAAGGAAGCCATCAAAGTTCAAATGTCTGGCAAGGCCGTGAAAGAAATCGAACAAAAGGGGATAGCAGGTCTTTTGCATGTCCAAACATGTCGAAACCCATGTAGCTTCCCGGTCGCCAATATGAGACTGTCTGACAAGGCCATGGGGAAGATCGTTCTGAGCGTGTAGATACGGAGAGCCTGCGTTGCACGGAGCTGAAGTCTCCGCAACTGGTTTGGCACACTCTGCATTGTAGTTCCTTTTCGGTTGTCCTGCCATTTACAAGCTCTTCCAGGCAATCGAAGTCGAGGTAAGTTTTGGCCGTCTGTCATCGACGGAATCGTCCGGTCGTTTAAGGGGAGGGTTTCAGATGCACAAGCTCTCTGCATGCTGTTCAGCCCTCGAATTTCCGGGCTGATCAGTCGACATACCCCCCAAGGTAGGCACAGCAGCTTCTTGCATCTTCGATTTAAACAACAGCCAGAAAATCCCACGGTGAAAAACAAAAGGACCTCAGTGGAGTGTGCATGAGTGGTCCGGGCTTTCAACTGTCACGGGCTTTGGGAATAGGATTTGGGAATATTTTGGATTTCTGGTTTAGAGCAATGTTTCGCTCCGCATAATGCCAAAGCACTCATATATAATTACACATACCTATGCACATAATATAAAGAATATGTATGTATGTATATATATATATATATGTATACAGATGTGTATACATATGATGTATTCAGCTTTGTGTCAACATAGAGAGAGAGGGTAGAAATGGGGCAGGATCATTTTTTGAATTTTTAAAAGAGCCACGCCACTGTCAAGCAAGGACCCCAGAAAAGGCTTCCAGAACAGACCCTAGGTTTAGAGGGGTTTAGGGTTTAGGGTTTAAAGTTTAGGGTTTAGGGTTTAGAGTTTAGGGTTCAGGGTTTAGGGAACCCTAAATCCAGAAGTTGCAGCCCGAGGCTCTAAACTCTAACATTAGGCCTTATCGCTGACCCCACCTTCCATCATCAACAAACATTGTTATGGGGATCTTCATATTCAACCCAAGAAACCAGTGCTACAACTGCGATTGTCATCATTATTCGTAGTGTTACTATTATTCGTAGGCTTATACTGCGTTTCTACCGCTGTTCTTGTTGTTATTGTTGTGAATTCCTTTTTGTTGTTATTGCGATATATTATTACTATTATCATTGCCATTGCCGCTGTTAACAATTTTATAGTATTGTTGTCATTGTTATTTTTGATGTCGTTCACATTGTTACTATACAAGTCTGATACAACCTTATTTAAACTATTATGCCAAGCCACATAACGTACTGCCGGATACTATCATGTTCCATAACATACTATACTTCTTCACTGCAATACACTCTTAGACCAAAAGAAGCTCCAGTCTCGGAGGCGGCTCGGCAACCGCGCGGCAAAGCACGTGCGAGAAAAGGAGCGGCGGGGGAAGCGCCAGTGGTATAGGCCGGGTTTGAACGAGCTACCAGCTAATGGTGCCCATGGTAGAAATGGTCAAAGTACCTATAGTAATACCCATAATCGTACCCATGAGCCATTTTTGTACTAGCTAGTCGTAGTTAGGGTTTTTAGGGTTTGGGTTCAAGACGTTTTGAGTGAAAGGTGTGCGGGCTTTGCTGTTTGCGGTCCGGGGTTTTCGCGTTTATTGCTGCTGAGAGCTGAGGGCTGCCATGTTCGATGTCATCTCGTTGGGCTCAGGGCAAGGTTTCAAGTCATCGTCACCATCGGCATCATCATCGTCATCCGTCGCAATCACCGTTATCATCATGACATGATCGTGATCATCATCATCATCATCATCGAAATCATCATCATCATCATCATCATCATCATCATCACCATCCACATGTTCATCATCATGCTCGTCACCATCATCATTATCATCACCAATCATTGTCATCATGATCACTAGCACCATCACCATTACCATCATCACCGTCCGGAGAACCTCACCACTTCTCGTCCGTACAACCCTGGCCATCGATGTTGTTCTTGGTTGCGATACAGTTCTGAAAGCAGTTCCAGCTCTGGGCCGACTGTTCGGGTTCATGTAGCATTTCTAGCATTTCAACACAGGTAGGACCAGGTGTCGGGGCCCTTCTTACAGTTCTAACCTTCAAAAGTGAAGGCAGGTAGCCGGGATTCGGCTTGTCGGAGTCCTTTCGTTCTTGCTCACTTGGGGTGGGGTGAGCAGAGATGATATGGATCCGTCTCGAAGATACCTGAGAGTTAGCGATGGATGCCTTCCTTACAGTCTGCACTGATTATTGCACGCACAAACTCGACACGCAGAAATTGGAGCTCTGATAGAGTAGTCTTGCCGCCTTGCCGCACACGCTGGATTTCACAGACCCATAACGGTAGAACGCTCTACCTGAAAACCCACCTGCTGCAATAGAGCCTTCAGCAGCAGTCAGAGAGATATTTACAGCATCCATAGGTTGAACAAGAACTTGTTGGTCCATTGGCGGCGCGTGCCGGCGCCGGTGCAAGCCCTGGCGGCGCCATGGAAGCTTGGGGAGACGTATTCTCCCAGCTTGCCAGCTCCTGCTCTGGGCTCAGAGAACAGTTTCCAACCCTGAACCCTACCTAAACCCTAAACCCCAAATCCTAATCCCCGAAACCCTAAATCCTGAACCCTGAACCCTACCTAAACCCGAAACCCTGAAACCCTTAATAAATCCTAAAGCCTGAACCTTAAAACCTAAACCCTGAAACCCTAAACAAACCCTAAACCCTAAGCCCTGAAACCCGAAACAAATCCTAAACCCTACTTATTAAACTCTAAACCCCAAAGAAGCTCAGTAAGCTGGAAGTGCTCCGAGGTCGCATTGCCGTTGACTTGTTGACTGGAAATCTGAGCTGCTGCGAGGCCATAATGCTTTCGCGTTTAGGGTTTAGGGTTTATCATAATGTTCTAGAGTCTACTAGAGTATACAATGTACGATAATTACTTGCACATACTAGAATTTACTATAATGTTGTATAGCCTTATAATATTCGAAAATAGGTAAAATAAGATTGTAAAACCATTGAATATTACAATATTAGTGTGCTATAATACGTACTAGTATCATATCTAGCACTTCGTCGACAACATGTGTCTTGCATCCTCTGACAGGCCACCACGGTCGTCGAAGACGAGGTGCGGCTCCGTACCCTTTGCAATTTTTGTATCGTGCTGTGATTGTCTACACGGCGTTAAACTTGAGGTGATTGTTGGCGGCAGTTTGAAGAAGAGTGAGGACCAGAACGAGGAAGAGACAGCCGAGTGTGTTGGGCCAGGGCCACATTTGCAAGATTCACAGACTCACGCGTCGAAAGCTCTCTTGAAGCGATGCGAGATGCGAGGCTGGGTCCTGATGCCATTCTGTGCACGCCAAGAAAGGCAACTGACCCAACCAGGCCCGGTGCGCGTTTCTTTGTGTTTCGCGCACTTTGCAAAAGACCCGATTTATTGGGGGGAAGAGCTGCAGGATGATGCTAACACCATCGACTGTGTGCTCGGACGAGGAAGAGGCCTGATTGGCCTGGTCCTGCCTAGAGTCTCATATAGGGGCCTTAAGAATTTACCCATAGTATTTGGGGGGTTCATTGTTAAGCCTCGTTATGGCTATAGTATAATATACCCCCAAACCCTACTCTAATTATGAAGGCCGCTACATTAGAGCGAAGAGCCCATGCTGGTTGTTCTGATACGGTTGTCTCATTGTGTTTAGCGCTCTCTTGTCTTGGAGATGCGGTCCTGCTCATGCTCTTTCTACTGTGTAGCTTTCCTCCTTTTTGCCAGACACCGCCTTCCTTCGTTGGAGAACAAGCCCCAAACCCTAATTTCTGAGCCCTAAACCTCTAAACGCCCTAATCCCTAGACCCTAAACTGCACCCAGCGCGCTCAGGCAGAAGCGGTGATGTTCACGAGCCAGGGCGCGCCTGGTCTCAGCGAGCTCCCCGAGGAGTTGCTTCGGATGATACAGGAACCTTAAAGAGTAGAATAATACCAGTACTATTCTGGGGGTTCCTTATCATACGTATAGTATAAAGGGCCCCCAAAACCCTATTCTCATTATTCATAAAGGCCGCTATATTTGGGTTTCTTTAAGCCTTGAAGTGTTCTTTCGCAAGGGTTTCTACAAGGCGTACTTTCAGGGTTCCTTGAAGGCATGGGCTATTTCAGGGGACTTCTCTAAGGCTTGCTATAAGGCTTCCCCAAGGGTTCCGGGTTCGGGGATCTGCGGAATATTATACGATAACATTATAATATACAGTAGAAGACAGTATAATGTAATATAAGCTTATAAGACAGATCATGTAAGATATGTTCAGGAACTCACAGGAACAGTCTTTTCCCTCCCGTCCTTCGTTTTGACATCTCAGGCTCACCAGAAACGTGGCAGGTTTTCTCCACGCATCTCGGATCATCTCGAGAGGGAAATGGCAAGTGTACGGCGGCTTTGCAAGTGGCTTGTCCTGTGCTTATTTTCCAGAGCTTGCTGGCTGAGGTTAATGGTTGCTTATCCCTCCGCGCTGCCTCCCGTGACGAATCCTTGAAGAAGGCTCACGTCCGATTGTTGTTACTGCCATGAGTGTTACAAGACAGCTGCTGCTTCAATCAGGTACTACTCTTTTTTTCCCTAAAGCCTAAACCCTAAACGCTAAACTCTAAACCCTAATCTAACGTGCTACCTCGCTGCTGAGGCACTTGGAGACGACGTCGACGAAAAAAGGCCTGGAAACCCTGAGTTCTGCAGAACTCTAAGACCTGAGCGACCCTCAGAAACGCTTAAGAAACCCAAAGAAACCCTAAGAAACCCTCAACCCTAAAATCAACCCGCTAAGTTGCACTCTGAACTGGGAACTGCCGAACCCTAAAGCCTAAGCCCTGAAACCTCAGGCCGTCAACCCTGAAACCAAGCAAAAGAGACCAAACCCCTAAGGAAGCCCTATATAAATCTTCAACAAAAACCTAAGAACCCCAAGAAACCCTAAGAAGCCCTAAGTTAAGAAACCCGAAGAAACCCTAAACCCTAAAGCCTAAGCCCTAAACCCCAGAGGAAGCCGCAAGTTGCAGGCTGGAACGGGAAGTGCTGAACCCACAGCATGGTGCCGCCGTCTACAAGCGGAGCTTCATCCTCGCTTGCTGGGTTGCAAAGTGATGCTTCGGG